TGTGAAATGGAAATGTTGTTTAAAATTACCATGAGGAAGGAACGTGCTGAAAGCTGCCTTTACTGTGCTCAGCCTTTGAGTGATGATGGCATGATGCAAAGAACTGTTCTAGATTGTTGGTTGATTATGAGAAGGATGTACATTCAACTTAACTAGCTGATAAGTGTCAAGATCCCCATGATGATCATGTAAGTAGTATTATAGTTTTCCATTTCATTTCAGTTATTTACATTATTTAGTCTTTTTGATTATTTTGATGCTCTAATGTACGTATTGTAGGAATGCTTTGAATGTCATGAGGTGGATAGTTCTTGCTTAGAAGGAGTATAAGATGAAGTAGCTGATAGAGATGTTGTTTGTTCTGTTAAGAGGTGCTTGATAAATTATTTCTTCGCAAGTGAAGCTGATAAAAGGCCAAAGCTTGCGGTTGTTAAGAAGAAAAAGAGTTAGGATTGTTTGTGTAAAGTTGGTGACTATTTTTTGAAACTTTAGGGGTAGTTGTTTTTTTTTTTTTTTTTTTTTTTTTTTTTTTTTTTTTTTTTTTTTTTTTTTTTTTTTGGTGGGGGTAACATGGTTCTGGTTCACGACAATGTGTCAGAGCAGGTTTTAAATCGTTCTTGGGTACTGTTATATTAACTTCGTATGGTTAATGTTGTTGAATATTTTGTTGTAATCTATCTATACTATATATAAAAACAAGAGTAAATACTCAAAATGATCCCTCGACTATAGCTAAATTCACAAATTGATCCTCAACTTTCAATTTCAACCAATTAAGTCCTTAACTTTGTAATTTTAACACGATTTGGTCCTCCGTCTATTTGACCGTTTGTTAACCGTGATCTTTGAGGATATATATGTAATTTCACGTGCAAAGCTCAAGAGAATTTCGGAGGGGGAAGTGCTTCTCCGCTTGCTGCTTGGGGATCACGAGCCGGTTCAGCATGCCTACGTCGCTTGGAGTCACGGCTTTCTCGAAGAGCCGCTTCAGGGACTTCGTCGATCTATCTATCAAAAGCTATAATCTCTCCGGCATGGGGTGCATCTCCGACCTGATCTCGATCGATCTCGCATGTGACCTCCTGTACGTGCACCCCAACTCTAACCCCCTGGTGGTTAGCACGGAGATGATTATGCCCAACTATTACCAAAGGCGACCGAATTTGGTAGATTGCTTTTGGCAGTGGATTCAAATGTAACAGTGCGGTCTGGAAATGCAACTGGAACCTTAAAAAACCGACGATGGACCGTGAAATTACATATATATCTTCAAAAATCACAGTCAACCAATGGTCAAATAGACGGAGGACCAAATCGTGTTAAAATTGTAAAGTTAAGGACTTAATTGGTTGAAATTGAAAGTCGAGCACCAATTTGTGAATTTAGCTATAGTCGAGGGACCATTTTGGGTATTTACTCTAAAAACAAAATCCTAAATTTTAACTTCCCGCTCAAATTCGAAAAAAATCTCTCTTTTATTATTTTCTACTTTCCTATTAGTACTATAATTATATGTTAAAATTCCTATTCTAATATTATAAAATAGTATAATACAATTTATATTCTAATCTATAATATCTATAATCTATAATCTATAATATCTATAATATATATAAAAAAAAAAAAACAAAATCCTGAACTTTAACTTCCTGCCGAAATCCTAAAAAATCTCTTTTTATAATAAAAATATATTGTTTTTTACTTTCCTTTTCGTACTATAATTCTAGGTTAAAACTCCTATTCTAATATTATAAAATAGTAATACAATTCCTATTCTAATATTATAAAATGCTCTGTCGGGTCGGGGTGTGGGGGGCCCTTAGGATTGGGCCGGGGTTCAGCCTTTTGGAAGACTAAAATAATGTAATACAATTTCTAATAGAATATATTGTTTCCTACCTTCATATTCGTACTATAATTCTACATTAAAATTCTTATTCGTAATGCAATAGGACAATATATATATATATATATATATATATATATATATATATATATATATATATATATATATATATATATATATATATATATATATATATAATTAAAAGTAAAATCCTCTTTAGCTTCTAGCATTTTTCGGTCCAAACTCATTGTATTAGTCAAATTATTTAATTATGATAAACTATGAAATAATTAATGATGGTAATAGAAATCCTAGAAGAATATAGAATAAAAGAATATTTAATTATAGTTATATTATTATTGTGCCTTACGGTCATTATATACTAACAGAACTTGATAGGAAAATAATTTACATACATATACAATTCAAATAAGAGCGAATAATGTTGGGCTCTTAACTGGAACAAAAAAAATGTCGGTAGTATTGTTTCTCAAAATAAATGGTTCATATTATTTTGATTTTAGCATTTTTAATGATTTTCCTTATTTACCCTCTATTATATTATTTTCTTTCTTTAAATAACCTAAATTCCGTTAGTATAAACTCTAGTAACAGAATATTCCGTTAACTATTTATTATTTTTAACTTACTCATTAATTTCTATAAGAGAGGTCTTAGGTTCGAACTCAATCCCAATTAGAGTTGGCATAATTATTAAACATATACTACGAATATGTTAAAATATATTTTAAAAAGTATATAATATAAAATTTAACATAAACTTCGTTCAAACAATTAGTTCGGCTAAATACAAAACATTCAAAGTTAAGCATCAAAGATTATATATCAAGAACTTTAAAAATAATTTGATTTTTATTATGGTGTAGGAAGTTTTAGATTTGTCTTGTTGTGTATATGACTGGGATTTTAGTTGTAATATGAACTCTTTATCTTACAAACACCTATTGATATTTAGTATTGGTAGTTTTTCCACTACATGTTTCATTTGTTGTGAGATGTGTGTCGTATGTTATCATGTGAAAGTATTGATCAAAATATTAATATTTATTATATTTGTATAAAATACTTGGTAAATAAATATATATAACATGTTTTGTATTATAACTTTAATATTTAATTACAAGATAATGTAAAAAAAAAAACAAAAAAAAAAAAAGACAATGAACAATGTAGTGAATATAATAAATTAATAAATTTGAAGGTAAGGAATCTTTAAATGGTAGAAAATAAAGATAATATAACTAATGAAATTATATTTCTTTTAAATTTTTTTATAATGAATAATTTTTTAAAATAAAGAATTATAGACATCTAATTCTAAATTAATTAAATGTATATGTATTTTTTTTTGTAGCTACTAATTTATTTAATTTAATAGGAGTAATAAAGTGTCATACATACTTTTCATCAACAATAATGAAATCAATTATTTTTTAAAAAATTTCCATTCCTTGTTGAGACAAAGTGTTTTGAGAGTTTGTCAATGACAATTGCTACAATTGCTGTCAATAGAGGATGGTAATAAATAATTCAAAATATATGGTTACAATAAATAATTCAAAATATATTGTTATAATGATATAGTAAAAATTAACTTACAAATTTCTTTAGAAGTTTTCATGCATTGATAAAATTCTGATGTGTAAACTTGTTCAACTGGAGCTAGTAAGATGTTAATATTGTCAATTATTTGGAAAATGGTCATACCATTTTAGAGACCACGTGTAATTGTATTTATGATCAACAATTTTGTAGTTAAGCCGCGCAAGTCTGACAATGATGTAAGAATAATTTTGTCTGATAAAAAAATAATAGTATAATATTTGTAAAGTAATGTACAATTGTACCATTATAAAAAAAATACAAAAAAATATTAATACCATTGGTAGTGTAAATACACGGGTGACCTAATACAATCTAAATGACTACTCCGTGGGCCGACTGACTGCGGTCGGGCTGCTCTGTAAGTAGCCTCTTGATCGTTCCAAAAGTCCCCTTTGCCTTATCCGTCGTGGATATTTATAGCTCATCGCCGGAACAGCCTCCAGCCTATCGGCATGTACTCCATGCAGCATCCACGTGCCAAAACCTAGTGGTCACTCTCTGTCGACGCCTGGTGCTGCCACGTACCCCTCTCCAGCGATACCGCTTCCAGGTGGAACAAAGGTATTGCGGTCGAGCAGAACACCGGTCGGGAGGTGAATCAGCCGGGCGAACTCAAACGCCTCTAAGCAAAAGGTCAGCACAAGGTTACATGGACGACCGATATCGACCGCCTTCTCCCTGCAGCGCTCGGGCAAAGGAACTGTACTGAATGATGCGGAGAACAAGTTAGGTCGGTCGGGATATATCCTACCTGTTGAAAACTAAAGAGTTAGGTTTATCTATAGGGTTGTGTCTGTTTATGAATAGGTGTCAGTTATGGGTAGTTACGGACTTACGGGTAGTTACTTACAGTTCAGTTATGTATTTGTGTATATATATGTATTGTGTTTCTGTATTAGAAACAGAGAGAATACTAATATAATTTCAGTCTTTTATACATTTCCTAGTCTTCGATTCTTCATATTGCTTCCGCCTAACTGACGGGTGGTATTATTCTCCACCCGCCAGGCCATTCCATCTTCCAAATTCAACATGGTATCAGAGCCTACTTTCCTAGGGTATTTCAAACATCAAAATTGTATTTTTCCTTGTGATGTATTCTCCGGTGAAAATTCCAGATTGTTGTTTTGCCCTTGGACCTTTTGGTGAAGTTTGAAGGCTTTTTGGGTTGGTTGCCAAACCTCTTTCCGGGGTGTTTTTGGTATAACCGTATTTGTTTCTTTATATTCGGTATACCATACTTAGTCCCTAGGGTTTTCATGTTTGGCACCTTGTTTATTTCCGGAAGCTTCTTTTGTTATTCACTTATCCTATAAGAGGTATAAACAACAATCATGTGGTTTTCTCGGTATTCATACAACAATCTATGAGCTCTACTACATTCCCTTTTGCTGCTCATGATTTGGTTGCTCTGCCGTTCTTGATGGAGATTGTTGATTGGCAAATCCTAGAATGCTTATGTTGCTGTGAGGGTGTTCGTGTTAATCTTCGCCCTTGGTGACTTCATTCCCAAGGTTATTTGTGACAAGCTTCGCCCTGGTGCCTTCATTCCCAAGGGTTGTTTATAGCATTGTTCCTCCGAAGCCATCCAACACTGTTATTCTCTAGCTGCTTTTAATCTTCATTTGTAATGTAGAGTGTATGCTTTAATCCAAGCTTGGAACTTCTAGATGTTCCAGCTTGAGGGGGAGTGTTGAAAACTAAAGAGTTAGGTTTATCTATAGGGTTGTGTCTGTTTATGAATAGGTGTCAGTTATGGGTAGTTACGGACTTACGGGTAGTTACTTACAGTTCAGTTATGTATTTGTGTATATATGTGTACTGTGTTTCTGTATTAGAAACAGAGAGAATACTAATATAATTTCAGTCTTTTATACATTTCTTAGTCTTTGATTCTTCATATTGCTTTCGCCTAACTGGCGGGTGGTATTATTCTCCACCCGCCAGGCCATTCCATCTACCAAATTCAACACAACCAACCATTATGATCTAAATCATTCCAATAATGTAAAAGCATAATTGAAATATTAAGTTTTATTCTAAATAATCAAAAGTAGATTAATTAAACTTATATAAAAAAAAATTAACCTAAATTTGTTTTTTAAAAAAATCAAGAAAATCAAATGATTTTTAAAGTTCATGATTTATAATCTTTGATGCTCAACTTTGAATGCTATGTATTTAGTCTGACTAATTATTTGACCAAAATTTACGTTAAATTTTATATTATATATTTTTAATACATTTTAACATATTCATAATATATGTTTAACAATTATGCCAATTCTAATTGGGATGAGGTTCGAACCTAAGACCTTTTTTATATAAATTAATGAGTATGTTAAGAATAATAAATAGTTAATGAAATATTTCGTTACTAAAGTTTATACTAACAAAATTTATGGTTATTTAAGGGAAGAAAATAATATAATAGAGGGTAAATAAGGAAAATTATTAAAAAAATACTAAAATCAAAATAATATGAACCATTCATTTTAAGAAACAATTACTACCAACATATATTTTTTTTTATTCCAAGGACCTAACATTATTGGCTCTTGTTAGATTTGTTGATTTGTAGATTATATTCACTACATTGCCCATTGTCTTCTTTTTTACATTATTTTGTAATTAAATATCAAAGTTATGTTTTCAAAATATATATATATATATATATATATATATATATATATATATATATATATATATATATATATATATATATATATATATATATATATATATATATATATATATATATATATCAATGTTATAATACAAAATATGTTATATATATTTATTTACCAAGTATTTTATACAAATATAATAAATATTAATATTTTGTTCATACTTTCACATGATAACCTACGACACACATCTCACAACGCATGAAACATGTAGGGAAAAAAACGACCACTACCAAATATCAATAGATGCTTGTAAGATAAAGAGTTAATAGTACAACTAAGATCTAATCATATACACAAGGAGGCAAATCTAAAGATTCCTACACCATAATCTCATTGTACGATGAATCCATCTATGCTACCACCAGTAACTCAATTGCACATGACACACTACCAATAAAAAAAGAGAAGAAGATGACGACAATGACAATGCTAACCAAAAGAGAATTAAAAAGAATTAGAGAAATTTAAACCAAAAGTAGTATTTATTTAGACTATTGTTTTTAGACTAAGTATTTAGACTAACATTATTACAAAGTTACAAACATTTATTTTAGTGACAATAAAATCAATATCTCATGTATAATATATTGTCTTGCATTTATATATTTTAAATTACCGATTTAAATAAACAAATTCAATATTTATTTACCTATGCATGAACATCTCCGATATAATATTGCATTGATATACTTTAAAATACTTATTTAAAAATAACCATTGGACATTATTTTATTCGCGCAAAGCCCGTAAAACAACTAGTAATAATATAAGTGGTAATAATAATATCTAAAAGTAATCAAGTGTTAATAATAATAATAAGAATATTAACGTAAGAATTATAACATAAAATAAAATGTAATAATATATATATATATATATATATATATATATATATATATATATATATATATATATTTATTTATTTATTTATTTATATTGTTCAAGTATAATAAAAATTATATGTAATAATGTAATAATAAAATAAAATTAAAAAAAATAATAATAATCTATACTATAATTAAAAACAAAATCCTATTTACTTGATTTTCCGCCGAAACAATAGTAAATAGTCAAGGTAAATTTAAAAAGGAACGTAAATTAAAAAAAATAGAAATATGTCACAATAATATTCTACATCATCAATTAAAAATGGAACAAGAATTATGTAAATTGGAAAATGAAATGAATATTAATAATTGACTGAAAATTAAAAATGGAAAAACTAATGGAAATTAGGTTAATTGAAAAAGGAAATGAATATTAATAATTGACTGAAAATTAAAAAAAAATTGATCCATAATTGACTAAAATGAAAAATGAAATGGTCAAATTATTGCATTTTAATTTTTCACAATAATATTACACAGTAGAATAAATCAAATCACAATGAAACGGAAATTAAAAATGAAACGGAAATATTTCAATAATAATATTCTACATTATCAAGTAAAGGAAAATTAAAAATGGAAAATAAATATTTCAATAATAATATTCTACATCATCAACATTAAGTGTATATTTTAAAAATTAGTAAAGGTAAATTAAAAATAGAACGAAAATTAAAAATGAAACGAAAATATTTCAATATATTCTACATCATCAAATAAAAATAGAACGGAAATTAGGTAAAAATATCACTGCATCTATATTCTAATTGACTAATTGTTTGAAAATAAAAAGGAATAATTGACTGAAAATGAATCTAATATTACTAATTGACTAAAAAATATAAAAGAAAATGAATATTAATAATTGACTGCAAATAAAAAATGATCCATAATTGAATAAAATAAAAAAAATGGTCATATCATTGCATTTTAATTAAAAAAAAAAAAGAAATGGTCAGGAGGTGTATGCAGGAAGCAGCGCGCATCCAGGAAGTAAAATTTGTACACGTGCTTAGGGAAGGGAACGTGGCGGCGGATGCCTTGGCGACGACAGCCCTTTCCCATCCAATTGGCCTTCACCTTCTCACCGAGATTCCTAATGGTTTAGAAGAAGTTGTTCGAAGCGATCAATTAGGAGTTGTTGCCATCAGGCGCACTGAGTGCATGGATGACTCTTTTTGGTATCTGTTTGGGGTTCCCCCCTCTCTCTTATCAAAAAAATCAATGGTAGGGCCGGATTTTAGGCTGTACAAGCTGGGCTACCGCACAGGGCCCCCAATTTTAGAGGGGCCCCAAATTTTAGAGGTCTAATATTTAATTTTTACCTAGCTAGTTTAGAAACAAAAAATTAAAAGTTTTCAACTAATTTTAAAAGGTTTAATGAAGAGATGGTGAAATTGTGTATTATTTATATTTTAACTTGGAGGTCAAAGGTTCAAAACTTGCATGTATTGGTTTTAAAAATTGTGATTTTATAGGCCCACATTTATTTACTAGAACAGGACCACAAAAACTTATAATACAGCATGGTAAATGCATATTTTAAACAATAGTAAAGGTAAATTAAAAATGGAAAGGAAATATTTCAATAATAATATCTACATCATCAATTAAAAATAAAAAAGAATAAAAATATAAAATGATCACTAATTGAGTGATATTCTACCATTATATATTTTCACCCGAGTAACCCATCCTGATGGACTGAATGTGTTAGCTCTAAACGATGATGGACAAGATTGCGTTGCCACTACCAATGTCGTCTACGGTGATATTATGTTTTCTTTTTTAAATGAAAAAATTGCTATATATATAGACAAAAAACATATCTTCCATACAAATGAATTAGGATATCAATTCATTCTTATAACTGAGTTGTTAGAGAACGAGCACATTTGCCTAATTTATGAAAATACTAAACAATGATAAATAAAATCTTCAAAGTTATAGCACAGCATGCGTACATCTAGACGTTAGCTATTAATTTGAGCAATTATTTTTCACAAATTCAAGCAAAGATTACATCAAAATACATAAACAATCCAAATCATATCTTTAATTGCACTATATAATATTTGATGTTCTAATTTAAATAATTATATATCGATTCGAATATTCGTAATATATTACAACAAATCCATTCCGTGCATCGCACGGGTAAAAATACTAGTTAGATAAAATATTATAAACCAAGGACCTTGTGGTCCACTGATACCAAGTTGCTCCACTGTGTGGAGGTTGTGGAGGCGGAATATTGGCTCTTTGTGCTTTAGTAAATTGATAAAGTAGTTATGAACAGATACTACATTGTAATAGAGTAATAGTATTGCTTTAGTAAATTGAGAAAGTAGTTATGAACAGATACTACATTGTAATAGAGTAATAGTATTAAAAAAAAAGATAAAATATTATATAATTAACAATTATTTTTATGTATTTGTTTATATATTTATGCTATTTTTTGAAAGTTACTGACTCTATTATATTGTAGTATCTGTTCATATACTTTCTCAACCTACTGAAACACAAAGAACCAATAATGCCTCCACTAAGGTTCGAACTCATAATATTTCAAATGAAAGTCCAACCCGGGTACCATTAGACCACATAATCCTGGTATATATTTATGTTATTTATTTAGTTTATAATGTTTTAATTAAAAAATATTATATAAATAATAATTAATGACTTGGGTCTACCTTACAAGATGGATCTGTGTCCAAAATACACAATTTACATACTGAATGTTAATAATTTGAATTGTGAACATTTAATATATAAAATTGTAAATATTTAATATAAATTGTGTATTTTTAAACCCATAACTATATTGCAAGGTAAACCCAGATTCACAAAATAATTTACCTTAGAGATGTTGGTCTTCGACGCCTCCAAACATGGACGAGTCGGAGGCAGCGTGGCTAGTTGCCTTTCTTTTTTTTTTTTCATTTTTATTTTTAAAAAATATTTGTATAATAAAGTGATTACAGGTTTTAACCATATAAACCTTAATTAATTATGATTTTGTCGCTTTTTCAAAAACTTTTACGGGGTGTTTGGTTGGATGAAGGAATTAGGATGGAAAGGAATTGTAATTCGGTGGGAAAAGAATAAGGTAGGAATAATGTACGAATTCAAATTACATTGTTTGTTAGGGAAGAATAAAATTATTTGGGATGAGAATGAAAAAGTGATATAAAGACTAAAATGTTCTTGTATAATAATATTATAATAACTAGTAGTTGCACCCATGCGATGCACGACTATATATATAGTATGATATATATACAGTATAGAATATAGTTCTTGAAAATGCAATAAATTTGAAATGAAAAACTTGTAATTTTATTACAGATTGATGAATTTAGTAATTTTATTACACATTGTTGAAGACTTCGTTGTACACAACATTTTTAGTCGTACTAAGATATGGTACATTTTCGCCACAAATCAAAATTTTCAAACCCCTTGGGTTATTAACTCTTGAAACAGCTACGTACAATTGGCCATGGTTAAAGACAGGTCTTTTCAACAGCAATTCCACTTTAGAAAGTGTTTGGCCTTGACTTTTGTTGATTGTCATGGCATAGGATAGCATCAACGGGAATTGTTTCCGTTGAAATTTGAAAGGCAATCTTGGATCTGACGGTGTAAGTGACATTCTAGGAATTAATACTCTTGTTCCTGCATTTGTACCGCACATGATCTTGCCTTCCAACACGTGACCAGCTAACTTAGTAACAATCAACCTTGTACCGTTGCATAATCCTAGTGTGTGATCAATATTTCTCAAGAGCATAACAAGTGACCCAACTTTCAATGTCAAAGCATGATTTGGTACTCCAGAACATCTCAGGCCATTCAAGAATTCGGGAGTGTGCAAATCTACTAACATATCAACATTTGAATCTGACTTACAAATAGAATCACAACTCAAGTAAGTCTTACCCTCAACCGGATTATGATCATTCATGTATTGGTTAATGCTATCTACCACATCCAATGTTGTAGCCAAAATAGCACTATCATTAAGATATAACAGATCGCCAATCCTCAGTCTAAAATGAAGGAAGGTGCTATCAACAATTGTAGCAATAGGGTCATCCTCGAACTTTAGCAATAAATGTTCTGGAATTGTAATATCTGACTCACCATGACTTGAATTACCAACAGTTCCGTCACCTATATTAGCTATCCATTTTGCAAACTCCTCAATCTCTTTACCCTCGATTTGTGATTGTACAGTTCTTAGGCGTAGATTCTTAGTTAGCCTAAATACTTTGCAGGGTTTCCAAAGATATGAGGAACTAATGCTCGCACGAACAATATCCTGTCTGGTACCCTTCGGAATTACTGGTAGAATCTGCCTGAAATCGCCACAAAAAACAACTGTTTTACCACCAAATGTCATTTCATAACTACTTGGATTTTTGAAGCGCAACAAATCCCTCATAGTTCGGTCTCGGGCTTCAAAACAAAATTTGTGCATCATTGGAGCTTCATCCCATATTATCAACTTTCTTTGCACAATAAGCTCTGCTAATGGACTGCCGTGACTTATGTTGCAAGTGGAATTTTCATTAACAGATATCGGTATGGCAAACCGAGAATGTGCAGTTCTTCCACCTGGTAATAAAAGCGAAGCTATGCCGCTAGATACAACATTTGACACTATTTCCCTCTTAGACCTTAAAGCAGAGGACAATGCTCGCCACAAAAACGTCTTACCAGTCCCTCCATAACCATAAACGAAGAATAACCCGCCAGCTTGGCGATCAATATCGGTTAACACCTCATTGTATATAACATTTTGCTCTTCTGTTAACTGCCTTACCAATTCCTGATTCTCTTTCTCCTAATCCACACAGTCATATGATAATTCTTCTTGTATAAGCCTGTTTGATATAACATTAAAGGCATGAAAATTTGCCGTTGGCATTTTAGGATAGTCCTTCAAACTCTTACCATGAATTGATAACAGCTTTTCAATCTCCACTAAAGCAAAGTTCATCTTGTGAGATTCAGTCAACACAAAATCTACATAAGTTTATATAAAAATAAAGTAATTAAGTTAACTACGTCAAAGTTGAATTTATATTTTGTTAGCAATTCTACAAAAATAATATGTAGAATGTATATGTACCTCTTTTGTGAAATTGTTTGCGGATCTGGAATTGTGCATCATCAGACAATTGTGGCCACACAGCATTCCAAACTGTTTTCGATTTACCCATGCAACTGCTCATTAGCAATGTAACAAATAATCTCCTCAACTGATCTCCTGACGCCCAATGACTGGCTTCATCTATTGCATCAACATATTCGTTATCATCATCAACTAAACCTCTTGCATAAGACGCTCTCGAAATGTGGCATAGTGGACACCGTTTACAGTCTTGATATCTTCATGACTTGTAGGGAAACGTATTTTATTCAACAAACACCTCAAATAAAAGATTTCTCCAGTCGCAGGCGGGACATAAAAGATCCTTCCGATTGAGAACCCTTTTTTCTGTGGCTACCATTTTCTAAGGTCTTTCTTCCACTCGAATCTTGTTGGCATCTCAACATAAGTAAGCTCTCTTGCATATGGGAATGTCTTATTAGCCTCAAACCATTCCAAGAACATGCTCTGTGCTATAGTGGGTTTATTAACAATGTTCTCAATAGGATCATCATCTGCAAACACCACACTCTGTTGATTAGGAAGGTGAAAGCTTAACCTTTCCACTGAAGGAGCCCTAAGCTGTATATCAAAACCAAACAAACGCCAAACCGCTTCACATGGGGATATGTACCTACAGTCATAGTACATATTAATCTCATCTATGACTTTTCCATTCTCTTCATCATTGCTTGATTTGTAGAATTCTGCTGTTACCCGATCATAACCCTTGTTAACATACTTGAACAGGTACTTGATTGAGCGTGACTGGTTGCACCACTCGACATTTATATGAGCCTTGTACTTAAGTAATAAATGTCTATTGTGCGGTACATCATATTTGTTGTCCAACGCGATCCCGTTCTTTGTAACTATACTGTCGTTGTCTCTCCGTCTATATATCGGATAACCATCGTCATCAAATGTAGAACACTCAACAAATCTCTTAGGAAAATGTTTTGAACATCATCCATTTACCATACATGGAGAATTGCTCCTTGATTTTCCACATGGACCATGCATCATAAATTCCTCTACAGCTTTGTAATATTCTACATCTGTATTTTCATTTTTTGTAAATAATATGGTCCAATACTAACCCAATAATGCAGTCCATAACCCAAACCCAATAAAACTACATATAAAATGTTTTCTCCTAACCCCAAGACCATCTCTAACCATCTTCACCAAATTCTGCACTATATTTTACATCAAAAAGAATATTCCCTGTATATTTATACATCAATTTGTATCATCTCCAACCCATTACAACAATGTTATTTTATAATATTTAATAACCAAATATATTACTTAATATAATAAATTCTTGGCCCAAGCTTTATTTCTTTCATTTTTTTTTTCTAAATAATCCGACTAAAAACTAACCCATTAATGTAGCACATAACTCGAACCCAATAAAATCGTTAGTAAAATGTTTTCTCCTAACCGGCTAACTATAAGGTCATCTATAACCCTCTGCAATAGATTTTACACCCAAAAAAAAAAAGAGAAGAAATTCTCAATATATTTTTACACCAATTTTTTTCTATCCCCAATCAATTACAAAAAATTATGCACAAAATTAAATTTTATTTATACACTAAAATATATTTTTTAATAAATTAAGACATTGTATTATAAGTTTATCTTATTTAATATAAAATATAATTATAATGCAAATATTATTTTATTTCACAATAATAAATCATATAACATATATTACATTTAATTTTCATATGCGGTGACATTGAAGATTATTACCTCTTCATTCTTGTTAATCTATTAAGTTTAACAAATAGCGAAACAATTGTTTTATATACATATGTGTGTGTGGGTGGGGTGAGGACGTGATGACTAATCTTGTGCATTCTTTATTTTAATTTGAATGGCCCAGATTTGATTATATTATATTATATATATAGTAACTTATTTATCTCTATTATTAAGGTTATTATACAAATAAATATACTCTTTCTAGCCCCTTTACATTTTATATTCTGATCCAACCCAAAACACATACATAATTTAAACTTTATATTAAGTACAAAATATTTTTAAGCCGAACCAAAGTTGGGATTAAAGCTCATCCCGTATGTCTATCCCTAACCTATGTAGAAAATTAAAGGTGCAAAATGCTTTGCCTTCATCATTTTTCGCTCCAAGATGCGCAGCTATCTCCTCTCCCGTATGTTGCTTCATCTCTAAACACTAGAATGATACATGCGTGATGCAAAAACTACTTATTAATAATATTATTGTGAAATTTTATATGGAACAAAATATCTTTTTAAAAAAAATAAATTGAAATTTACATGTTAAAAAATGTAATTTTATATATGTTTAATAATTTTTTAAAAGAATCGACATCTAAATGCAAGGCAATTAATACGCAATTACCAGATCAGTTCACAGAAGTATTATAAATTTACAAATTACTGATTAGTTGTTGATATAAAACTTGTACATATATTTATAATATTATATACATATATTTAATATCAAGTATTATGCAATTTTATTTTCCAATATATATTAAAAATATTATACTAATTTATTTATCAAAACATTTATACTTTTACCAACTATTTATTGAATTAATTTATATAATTAGTACATCTAACTACATACAAAAAAAATATTATAATTAAAAATATGATTTACTATTAATATAGTATAATTGTATTTATGTAATATAATAATATATTTTTAGTATAATTATAATTATAATTATAATTATAATATTTATAATAATGATAATAATAATAATAATAATACAAAAAATACTAACTGAAATGTCTTAATAATAATAATAACAATATTATTATTATTAATATAAATATAAATATTAAATTAATATTAATATTAATATCTTCCGCATTTATGCGCTAACCCATTTCATCCCCATTTCTGCGCTTCGTCTTCTTCCCTAAACCGACAATCCATCCACACTCCAGAAATGGAGATGAAGTCATAGAAAACCAAAAGAGCAGCTCACTCCGTAATCCACCGGTTCAACCTAGTCTTCTTCCCCATTTCTGCCCTTCGTGGTCGTTTTCCTTGCAAAGCCATAGACGACCACTCCGTACACAGAAATGGAGACAAAGCCAGAAAAAACCAAACGCCAACTTCACTCTGTAATTTCTAACACCAAATTTAACTCCAATCTGCACCTAATTAGCTACAATAATCATCGTAAACCAATTATTACAGCCATTCGTACCGTCTTCGACCTAAGTTGCATCGAAAGAGAAAACTCAACATCCATGGCTATACATAGGCTGTCTACATCACCTGGTAAGTTTCAATTACTCTTTACTTAATTTACTTAATTAAATAAATACCCTAACTTTAATTAAATAAAAACCCTAACTCTTTATCTACAGGTCTATGTACACCTGAGAGTGAAGGAGGGAAAATAAGAGTTGAAAGCCACTCCAAAGATTTGACGGTGTACATGCAGAGCAATCATGAAGTCGAAAAGCTCCTCTCCAAAAATCTCAAAATCTAAGACAAATTTGATAAAGGTAAATACATTATGATAACAGTGTTGATTCTTGTTGTTATGTGTTCAACATTTTAGATCCTTTAATTATTCGATCTTATTTCATCAATTTAGGCCCCAATTCTTTCTTTTAATTAGTTTTTTTTTTTTTTTTTGGTAAAATTTTGTTTGAAATCTATGTTCCAATTTTGGGCAATTTTATTTATATGGCTTTCCAGCTGTTCTTTGGTCAGTTTCTTCATCATTGTGTCAGTGTAACTCAAGTACTCAACAGTTTTATCTCTTGTTACCAGAAAATGGCAAATGATGAAACATAATTCTGATGCCCAATTTTCTCAATTTTTATTAACTATTACTACATCTATTAGTTGCTACATAGCCCATTAATTTTGAAGTTATGGGTTGATTTTGTGATGCCTGCTTTGATTATAAAGTTCAAAGCAGGTTCAGATTATGATCTAATCTATAGCCCTATTTCTAAACTTTGTTGATTAAAAATCAAATTTTTTAAGTATATAAAGGATTAGAATCCAACACATTAATTCAAAAAGTGCAATTCGTTTTGAACTGATAATGACTGTAACAAAATATATTGACTTAACATTTAATCTAACTTGAAACTGTATTTTTAAAGTATATTTTACAAAAGTTGATGCCTACTGTTGATTCTTAAGTTTTATAAGTTTCTGATGCTTGCTTTGATTTATTGAGCCTCAAATCTTCAACTTCGATTTATTTGATAGTGGCTGTAACCTAATATTTTGACTTAAAGTTTAATCTAACGATAAACTGTAACATTTTTTTTTAAAGTTGTGAGTACCTAAATTGAGGCCTACTATTGATTCTTAAGATGTTTAAGTTTGTGATGTCTACTTTGATTTATTATTCTTCAAATCTTCTACTTTTTGCAATCAAGTGGATTCCGATTTTTGAAATCAAGTTGATTCAAATTTTCTAAATTTTTTTTTACATAAGTTGATTCCTATTTTGTTTATGAAGATTATTAAGTTTTTGATACAGTTGTCTTTAGTTTCATATTTATCAGTTAATTATATAGAATGTGAGATACATACATCTAGATACATTCTAAATCACATTAGTGACTTATAGAGTTAGAATTTTTTTTAGTGAGATAAATAAAATCTGTCAAAGATTATATGCTATCTATGTACATCTAGATACATTCTAAGACCTATAGTTCTAGGAATCTGCCTTGAATCTGTCTTCAATTCATTGCACTGCCCCATCACAACAGCAACATTACAGTCCTGAAACCATTGTTAAACACATTGAAAAATATAGAATAATAGAAAGAAAAATATCATAAGAAAACATATAACAAAATATTAGGCATCAGAATAGGAATCACTTTACTTTCAATTGTCTTTAGAGTTTTAGAGGCCCAAAAAATTTTAGTTCAAAAAATCCAAAACAAAAGTCAATTTAAGTTCAATTTCTCCTTCTTCACATGCTTAAATTAAAATACCTATGTTTTTCTTTGCAGTTATATAACCTGTACTATAATAGGTTACTTTGCTCTTTATCATGTGGTGCCACACCTATAAAACATTATTTTCCAAAAAAAATAAAATAATGGATTAGTATACTACACACCGTATTAGTAAGTATCAATGAAATCAAATTCAATTATGAAATACAGATTCCATAATTCATGTTATATGAGCAATGGAGCCTTCTTTTGTACTGTTCAGTAGGTAGACTTCTTTTGTAATGTTTCCATGAATATATTCTCTCTGAAATGACAGGAGAAGAAATGTTTCAATAGGTAGAATCAGTTGTTAGTAAGCATTTCATAAAACAATCAGATGCTGAAAAAAAAAAAAACAGTTTTACCTCATCATCATGAAACAAACATTATAGACCCTTACTTGTTTGGCCACCTCTAACCTCAAGATTAGAGAATAAAATGCAGGGAAAAACAAAGTATTACTGTCAAAATGGATTAGAAATCCATAAGTATTCAAAAAAAAAAATTATAATTCTACACTAACCTAAATTTACTTTCAGCAGGTACATAGAAATCACCTTCTTGCATGAAGTGTAACACCACTAAAAAGTAAGTTAAACATAATCTACAGCACTAACCTTTTGTTCCTGAAATTGGAGAACAGTGGTAGTATAGCCTTAATTGATATATAGAGAAGACATTTTTTGATTTTTCTTGCAGAGAATTGCCTATACGATTTAGAAGCTGAGGTTGAAATAGTTAATATCAATCTACCTCTTTATATAGAGGTAGAATTCGAACAGGGCTCAACCTAGAGAAACGAAGAGTCCTCATTGGAACAATGTCCTCATTTAAAGGCCTTTATTTTAAATTTTATTCATATCCGTTTGAATTTGTAATGTATAATGCTATTTGTTATCTGATGATAATGATGTAGTTTAGAATACCAAGAGTTCTGCATTTAATGAACTGCTTAGTAATCAATGACTGTAGCCTGGTTATATATGTAGTTTAGAATACGAGTTTTGGCTTTAAAAACGGCTAAGCCGAATCCCAATGGGGAATTTAATTATACATGCCATTAAATAACATGCAATTATCTGCTATTGTCAAAACGGTGTAGTATCTATTGGGCGGGAAAAAATGATTGCCAAAAAATGCACAACGGCGTAGTATCCAATGGGCGGGAAAAAATGATTGCCAAAAACTTCTTGCTTTATTATAGAGTTAGATAGATGATAACAATCAACAAGGATATTCTTGTCATTTCTTACACTTTTTCCTTCCCCAAAAACGTTGAATTGCAATTAATGGGATTACCCCATAAATTGCAATTCAACAAAAGGAGTGATTTGCCCTTCCATGACATTGCAATTCCCTCCTACCAAACATTGTAATTAAGCCTTCGTTGAATTACAATTCAATTACAACTAACAGAGCTTTTGGTTGGAGAGGGGAAATACGTGGGAAAAGAATTGCAATTCAATGAGAGATGAATTACTGGAATAAAGTGGAAATTAAAAATCCAGTGTTTGGTTTACATGAATAGAATTACTGGAAATTTCAATTCCAATGTTTGGTATACATGGGAATTGAAAGGGAATAAGTAGTATAAAGACAAAAATGTCGATTGTTGTTGTTAGGCATTAATTTTAAGTTAAAAAATGAAGGGGTAATTTTGACTCATTACTATCTTTTTTTTTTTTTTTTTTTTTTCCCTAAAATCCAAGAATTAAAATACTAGAAGGGCATGAGATTTTAATTCCATAAAAATGAGGGAATTACAATTCCTTTCAACTAAACAAGAAAATTTTATTGCCTTTAGAATTATATAAGAATTAACTCATTATATATAAAGATAACCCTAAACCAAACATGATAATATTACATACCTCAATTTTAACCAAACACGGGAATCTAACATTCCCAGTAATCTAACATTCCCAGCAATCTAACATTCCCTAAGGTAATCTAACATTCCGTGAACCAAACGGCCCCTAAGTGAAACAAGAATTTAAATTTCCTTCACCCAAATGCCCTGTAATACATACAACCAAACGCCCCTTTACTTCGTTTACCCGACTTCCCAAATTCAAAATCCAAACACGCGGGACCACCTAACGCTTCAACAAAAACCACGATCTGCGTCATCACGCAAGAGGCAATCTCTAGACCGTCGATTAACAAGCTATCAATGGCGTAAAGTGCTTTAATCCGCATCGCACAGATCTCCATCTCTCACCGTCAATTACCATCACCAATCCAACGGTTGTTCTCGACTTCACTTCATTATATAAACCATCCTAAATCTCAATCATTTTACCGAGCAATCAAAATTGTTTGAAAGGTCAGATTTCCTTAGCGAAGAAGAGAAGAAATTTTCGAAGATGTCTGGGCGCGGAAAGGGCGGTAAGGGTTTGGGAAAGGGTGGAGCGAAACGACACCGTAAGGTCCTCCGGGACAACATCCAGGGCATCACGAAGCCGGCCATTCGCCGTCTTGCTCGCCGTGGTGGAGTGAAGCGTATCTCCGGCCTCATCTACGAGGAGACTCGCGGCGTCCTCAAGATCTTCCTCGAGAACGTCATCCGCGACGCTGTTACCTACACTGAGCACGCTCGCCGGAAGACGGTCACTGCGATGGACGTCGTCTATGCTCTCAAGAGACAGGGCCGCACTCTGTACGGATTCGGTGGTTAGGTTTTTATATCGGCGGTGTATATTTTTGGTGGTGTTTAGGTCTAGGGTTGATTATTAAGGTTAAATTGGGCGTTCTGTTCTGAATCAATCTCCGATTGATGATTGTTACAATGTTAATCTGATTTAAGTCCAATGATTTTCAGTTCTTTTGAATTCTCAATTTTTTCTAATTTTATCTTCTATTTTATTCTTGGTTGCAATCTGTAATATATTTAAGATGATCTATGAAAAAGTTGTTCAACGATCATCATTTATTATAGATGAAGTTGAATCAGACGCCTAAAGTGTAAAATAGAGGACATTAAAATAAGGCACTGGGTGTACCAGTATCCTGAAGAACTAATAACAGCAACTTTTTGTTTAGTGCCAATCCATCTTCCTCACAAAATGATACTGTAAATCAGCAATCAAAGAAGCACATTACTGCATAAGTATAATTTTTTAAAGAACAACATATTCTAAAAAAGTGCTCCAAAAAAAATGTTTTATATACTCCATATTTGTTTGGTAAATGACATTTTGACGGATTTGACTAATGTTTTATATACTCCATATTTGTTTGGTAAATGACATTTTGACGGATTTGACTACTTTAGGGGTTTAACTTTGTCAAAACTATAAAAATATGTTTTGATTAATGGCGAATTTAGACATCGATTTGATGACAAACTGTCAACTTCTAAAACGCTGTTGGCTTTAGCAGTTTGCCAAATGTAATTTTGCTTCTGTAATGGCCTTTGGCAAATTGAGCATGAGCCTTCGCTTTTAAGAGCATCTCCCTTGGGAGATGCAAAACTGCAAAATCTGACCCCAAAATGCCAAATATAAAAATTGGACTGTTCCAAAGAGGGATTGCATTGTGGCATAACGCCAAGCGCCATATTTGGCACTGCACTGTTCATTCATGCCAAATGAAAAATGGAATGAAAATGACACTTTTACCCATACTTCTTTTTTATAATTCTAAATGTATCATTTATTTGTTTTATATGTAATTTTTTATTTTGTTAAATACTTATATTTAAAATTTGTATTATTAAATAAAAATTATATCATTTTAAATATCTCATTGAGACGATCGAAACAAGACTAATATTGAATATATATTAATTAAAATTTCAAAGACTAGTTTGTACTAGATGTTGTATGCTATATTATTATTGTGGAATAAATTAAATTTTAAAAAAATATTGTTAAATTCAATTTTTTTAAATAATTAATTTTATAAAAAAAATAATGTTAATAAAAATTATTATTTACATCACAAGTTATATTTTATATTAAACTGAGTAAGTTCGAATTAAATTATATTAAACTAATTAAATTTGAAATAATAATTGAAAAATAAAATTATTTTAGTGTAAAAGTTTGGTGTTTTGGTGTAAATGGGTTGGAGATGAATAAAATTTGGTGTGAGAATATGCTGAGAATATTCCTTCTGATATGACATTTGGAGTCTGTTTGGAAAGCAGGAAAATGACTTCTGAGAATATTCCTTCCGTAATTATTTTGTTTAAAATATATAAAATTTACAATAATATTATAACTAAGAATATTTATTTTTAAAATTAAATAATATTATTTATTAAGAAAATAAAAATTAAAAAAAAACAGAATATTCATTGGTTTCCGACGGAAACTAAGACTTCCGCGCAGGAAACCATCTGGTTTCCGCGCCGGAAATCAAGATCTGATTTTTGCGTGGAAACTAGATGGGTTGTTTATTATTATTATTATTATTATTATTTTTTAAAAAAAACCTTTGGTTTTCGGCGGAAACTTGCCGGAAACCAGTGAGCCCAAAAGCCAAAGGATGAAGAAGCCAATGAAGATGAAGAAAGTCAACTGTTCTTGACATGAAGAAATGAAGAAGTCAACATCAGGAAAATGACTTTCCCTTTTTTAAAGGGGAAGTTGTTTTCCTTAAAATAAAGCTCATTTTCCATTGACGAATACCTCATTTTCAGTTGACTTCAAATTTTCCTTCTTTCCAAACACTGGAAACCCGGAAAATGATTTGGAGTTTGGTGGGTTGGAGATGTTCTAAGGGAGTCTCATGCTCCATTATTATTATTATTTTTGAACAGAACAAAGACACTTTCATTACTGATTCAAATATCGCATGATACAAGCCGGTGGGATTTCAGTCCACACCTCTGAGCCAGCCATAGAAACGGTCGCCCGAGCTAACTCGTAAGCCACACGGTTCGATGATCTCTTGACATGGGATACACTAACATTCTCCATGATACTAGCAATCGACAGACATTGCTTCACTAAAAGACCAACACACGAAAAATCGAAACTACACGAATTAAAAGCTGTACAAAAATTTAAACAATCAGACTCAATAATGATATTGCGACGATGTTGCGAACTAAGCCATAACAAGGCTTCCTTGACACCAAGCACCTCCGCTATGTAAGGATCAACTACACCCTCCAAACGCCCGCATTTAGCCGCAACAAACTGACCCTCGGAATCCCGGACAACCGCCCCGTAGCTTGCACCATCCCCTGATAATGCAGCGTCAATGTTGCATTTGATAAAGTTACTCGGAGGTGGAGACCAAGTGACCGCATGCGTACTGGCAGTGGATTGAACCTTATATGTTTCTGTCCAGCAAGATTGAAGCTGTAGCACTTGCGCACGGGCTGTCATAGCCGAAGGTTGCTTATTATTCCATACCACTTCATTTCGTGATAACCAGATGGTCCAGATGCCTATTGCCAACCGTACTGCTTCATCCACTAAAGAACCCACAATCACCTAAGACATAAAACTCAAATCATCCTCCCCCCGTCGCACATTCACAGCACCCCAAACCTGTTCCGCAAACTCTTTTAGTACGCAGCACCTCTCGGATCGGTAAAATATTGCGAGCAAAACGCCAAAGGAAATTTTTTACCTTGGGAGGGATTGGCAACGCCCAAATAGCCTTCCACGCCGTAAAGCCGTGAGTGTCTCCTTGCAGATTCGCCTCCCCGACCAACAAACGATACCCATGTTGGACCGTGTAGCACCCTCGGATGTCACCTTTCCAGCGCCAACTATCCCGAAATTGATTGTTCACTGGGGTAGCCAAAATTCTGGGGATATCATCTACATGAAAAATGTCTCTGAGGATATCAACATCCCAGCCCCCATTCTCGTTCAACAAGCTGTGGACCTGGCTTCGCGAAGCTGTTCCACACACGGGGTGCGTAACTGTGTACTTGCAGGTCCAGCGAGCCACTCCCAACCCCATATCTTTGTGTCACGACCATCCCCCACCCGACGAGCAACGCCCAACTGTAAAGCTCTCCTCCCGGCAAGAATACTATGCCAAATAAAGCTAGGATTCTGCCCTATTTGCGCATCCATAAACTCCGTCATAGGGTAATATTTGGCCTTTAACAGACGGGTTACGAGTGATTCAGGATGAATTAAAAGCCGCCACCCTTGCTTGGCCAACAGAGCCATATTAAAATCATGTAATCTCTTAAAGCCGAACCCGCCTTTTGGTTTGGGAATGCACATTCTATCCCAACTTAGCCAATGGATCCCCCGAGTTCTTGTACCTCCACCACCCCACCAATACCGGTTAAACATCTTCTCCAGCGAGTCACAGACACGAACAGGTAAAAGAAACACCGACATAGTAAAAATCGGTAGGGATTGTGCTATGCTTTTAAGCAGAACTTCTTTACCTGCACGAGAAAGGATTTTGTTTTGCCACAACCCAATTCTAGCCCGGATGTTCTCTTCAATATATTTAAAAACAACAGTTTTGTTGCGTCCCAGGACCGATGGCCGGGGCTCCCCGCGCCACCCTCACACCATGTATATCACCTCGGGCTTCCGCCTATTGCAGAAGGATAGATAAACCTTCTGCACAGATAATGAAAAAGGTAAGGGGATAACGGGTCTCCTTGTCGTATGCCCCTGGTAGGGTGTACGCAACCCACAACCTCCCCGTTTACCATAATTGAGTACTTCATAGAGGTGACACATAACATGATTATTTCCACCCAATGACTATCCAGGCCCAACGCCCGCAACATGCCCTCCAAAAAGCGCCATTCCATTCTATCATACGCTTTAGCCATGTCTAGCTTTAGCGCAGCCCACCCTTGTGACCCCCCGGTTTTTCGCCTTAGATAGTGCCCCATTTCCCTGGCCACAATGATATTATCCGTAAGTAATTGTTCAGGCACAAACGCACTCTGAGATTGGGAAACAACCTGCGCTAGACACCCCTTCAACCGATTGGCAAGCATTTTGGCTAAGACCTTGTACACCACATTGCACAACGCAATTGGCCGTAGGTCCGACACTTTCTCCGGCACAGATTTTTTAGGAATTAAGACAATATTAGAGGCATTTAATTTCGGTGGAAAGTGCTTGTGTTCCACACAATGTAACACAAACACGGACAAATCGTGCCCAATGACAGGCCAAAAATGTTGGAAGAAGGCCGGTGACATACCGTCTGGCCATGGCGCCTTCTCAGGTTTCATATCAAACAAGGAAGATTTAACATCTGCCATTGTGAACGGTTGTGACAGGGAGACTTTCATCTCGTCGGTCACGCGTTCCCGGACTCGGTCAAACAGATTGGCATTTCGCGGACCAGAACAGAAAATATGTTCAAAGTACCTGATTATCTCGGAATGCATAGCCGTGCCTTCAGCCCAAGCGCCATTCTGGTCCCTTACGCGGTTTAGCGAATTGCGTTTTCGCCGAGCTGTGGCCGATTTGTGGAAATATCTCGTGTTGGCAATGCCGTGCTTTAGCAAAAGCTGCTTGGACCGCTGTTTCCAAAAAATTTCCTCCACTTTCAATAGCTCCTCCAACTCCCTTTCTGCTGCTAAAAAAGTGGTCATAGCCTGAGGTGTACGGTTCTCTTTCAGCTTGGCGAGTGTGTGCCGGAGCTGTCTGCTTCGCACACCGAAATGTCTATGATAATCCCCACCCCATTTTGATAGGCGTTCACCACAGATAGCTAGACGGTCTTGGAAATTCATGCCACTTTACAAAAGCCATGCATCATTCACCACTTTCGCACAACTGGGCTGTAAGAGCCACGCCGACTCGAACCTGAACTTCCGCAAAGCTGTCCGTACGGGTTCAGTATGGAGGTCAACCAGAATAGCAAAGTGATCGGAAGAATTAGTATAAATATTTCTAACCTCTGCCTCGTCATACATCTCTAACCACTCCACCGTAGCCACTGCCCTGTCCAACCTTTCTTCCACCCACGCATCCGTTCCCCGGCCGCTCACCCACGTGAAACGGCCCCCTGTCATTCCCATATCAACCAGACAGCATTCCCCCAACACATCATTAAAACCTTCGATAAGCGCCGATGGATGGCTATGGGCCCCTCTCTTTTCTGACAGACAAGCGATATCGTTGAAGTCTCCCACGACAATCCAAGGGAGAGATGAATTACCCTTGAGCTGCCGTAAGAGATCCCACGTAACCTGGGCGCCCTGGAATAGATATCTCCATATCTATGTGATTATTAGAGTAGCTAATCAGAGATGCTACATTCATGTCCCTCCAGAAAAACGCCATGCCCCCTCCGAGGCCTACTCTGTCCACACAAATTTTACATTCAAAACCTAACTGTATACGCACCTGCTCCATTCGAAATTCAGTCGCCTTTGTCTTCATTAAGAAGACGAATTGGGGTCGTTCCTTGGACACAATGCCCAAGAGTTCATGAACTGACCGTGTACCCCAAACCCCGGCAGTTCCAGCTAAGGAGACTCATTTGGCTCGGCGAGCCTGGTCTGCCAGACCCGCCAATTCCTTAATCTTCAAGCTGTCAGCCATCAACACATCATCCCCAGTGGTACTATTAGATTCCCCATTGTCTTCCCGGCGCCGTTTCAGATCCCCATGGACGCCCTCTGTTTCTGCCATTAGTACTAACGCTGCCGGGGCAGGTTCATCTGAAGGAGTGGCTGCCATTCCTGCCGGGCTTGACGGAGACAACAACCATTTCGCCCCCACCGGTTTCACCTGCCGTCTGGGACCCGCGCGCAACCAAGCCCCGTATGGATAATCTTCGAGTAAAATACCCTTCTCATAAGCAGTCCTGCAAAACTTCTCAGAATGTCCCAAAAGGCCACAGTAGTAGCAAAACGTGCTCAGGCGCTCGTATTTAAAATTGATCCACTGCATTGAGCCATCACGCCTTAGCAATTTCATACATCTCTTGATCGGAGCTGCCACGCATAATTGCACTCGAATTCTATAGAAACTCTTCCAAGCCCCGCCGAAATTGAGAGGGTCAGCCATTATGAACGATCCGATGTAATCCCCAATTTTGTTGATGAATTCTGGGGAGGCATACATCGCGGGCAATCTATGGATTTGGACCCAGAACGGGACCGACTCAAGCATCACGTCCTCTGGTCGCTCGTCTGGCGGTACCTGCGCACAGATCAACAGATGGTTTTCAAAAGACCACGGCCCATCATCCATAACTCTTTGAAGATCCTTCGGGTGAGGAAATTGGAACAGGAAAAGGTCCTCTGCTAAAGCCATTGCGTACATGCCCATTACCGGTCTCCACACCGAAGCCAACGTATGCTGCATATGCTCAAAGCGGATCTGACGGTCAGTGAGCAATCGTCCCACTAGATTGTGTTGGATTGTCTCATCGGGGACCGATCGCGTTTCGGGTGCCTCCAGACCACCACCATCCTCATCAATCAAAGCCAGATCGACACACCGCTTTTCTAATTGATAAACATCCATACGGAGATGCGATGGATTCCACACCAGGGCACAGTAGATAACAAATAAGCATAGAATCGCCATTGCCAAACACAGAAATTAAAAAGCCCTAGAGAGCCTAGGGAGATTACTCCCTTCGATCACGATCGAAGGAGATGTCCACTACCGGAGAGGTGATCGGAATCACGATGCAGGGAGAAAATGAAAATTGCGGAGCACTCTCTCGTTACGTTAGAGCTTATAAACATATGACCCGTGACTATTCTAATTGTATGTTAATTTGCATCACAAATAACAATTATTATTAATTTTTTTAATTATATTATATACAATATTATAAATATTAATAATAAATTACGGAGTATTCAAAAAAAAATTATGGAGTAATATTAAAATATAATATGTACTATATATAAAAACAAAATCCTCAACTTTAACTTTCCGTCCAATTCCTAAAAGTTCTATTCTAATATTGTAAAATAGCGTAATACAATTTTTAATAAAATATATTGTTTTTTACTTTTTCCTATTCGTATTATAATTCTATGTTAAAATTCCTATTCTAACATTATAAAATAGTGTAATACAATTCTTAATAGAATATATTGTTTCCTGCTTTCTTATTCGTACTATAATTCTACATTAAAATTCTTCTTCCTAATACAATAGGACAATATATTTTATCTGGCACTACAATATTCCATTAAAAAAAAAGAATTTTCGTTCAATTCTTTTCTATTTTTGTCTCTGCTTCCGGCCTATTCCCCCATACAAGTACTGATGCGCTCTTATTTGTCAAGGGAGTAATGCTTACTCCCAGGTGAATATTATTAGTATAACTCTACGGTTTATAGTACATGTTGATTTCTAGTGGAGTTGATAATCTTATAATCTTATTAATTTTTTACATGCTCTACGGTTTTTTAATAAAATGCAATAATTCTCTGTTCTTATTATTAGTAGTTTAGAAGTCAGTATTATTACTCACAAGGTTGCTTTTACTGCCTTCAATGTGAGCTTTCAATTCATTCTTTATTATTTAAACTATTGGGATTTCCACTTCTTTCTTTTTGCTGGTTTAATTATGTGGGGGAGGATTATTGATATTAGGCCATCTCCAAAGAAACGGCAAAACGGTAAATTGTCAAATTTTTTGTCGTAAAGAAGCAAAAGCAGCACTCCAATGGAACGCCAAAACACCAAAAAATTTGGTGTTGATGAACAGTGCCGCACCATATATGGCGCGGAACTGTGAATCTACGCCATTTTCTGATTTCTTTTTTTTCTTTCGGATTTGCCCGTTATCTTCTTTTATAATTGCTTTTGTATCCTTTTTTGTTTTTATATATTTACATATTTTGTTAAATATTTAAACATAAATTGTATATTATTTTAAAAAAATTATATCATTAGAAAGATCTCATCAAGAAGATTAAAACAAGACTAATATTGAATATAATTTAATTAAAAATAAAATTACATAAAATATAATTAAAGTTTAATTTATTAATTTATTAATTTATTAAAATAATAAAAGTATAAATATAAACTTTTAATTTATGAGAATATAAATTATTTTAGTGTAGGAATAAAATTTGATGTAGATTTTGGTGTAAATGGGTTGGAGATAAAAAAAAATTGGTGTAAGAATATTCTGAGAATATTTCTTTTAGTGTCTTTACAAATAAATAAATAAACAATTTGCAGTGTTCCCCTATATGTATGTACACATTCTTCCGTCTTTCCTTTTAATCCCAGACACTAACTTCATACTGTAATAGAATCTTTAGGGATTAATGTTCAATATATAGATGTTCATAGTGCGATTGAATGTTGTCCATTAGCCTAAATTGTTCAATATTAATTGTTTAATTTTTTTTTTCTTTCCAATTATTGTTTGGTTGTTGTCTGATTCTCAACACCCTAGGAAAGTGATGAGATTCCAACAGAACTGGAAGAAATATGTGAAATGGAAATGTTGTTTAGAATTACCATGAGGAAGGAACGTGCTGAAAGCTGCCTTTACTGTGCTCAGCCTTTGAGTGATGATGGCATGATGCAAAGGTTGCAAAGAACTGTTCTAGATTGTTGGTTGATTATGAGAAGGATGTACATTCAACTTAACTACCTGATCAGTGTCAAGATCCCCATGATGATCATGTAAGTAATATTATAGTTTTCCATTTCATTTCAGTTATTTACATTATTTAGTCTTTTTGATTATTTTGATGCTTTAATGTACGTATTGTAGGAATGGTTTGGATGTCATGAGGTGGATAGTTCTTGCATAGAAGGAGTATAAGATGAGGTAGCTGATAGAGATGTTATTTGTTCTTTTAAGAGGTGCTTGATGGATAATTCTTCGCAAGTGAAGCTGATAAAAGGCCAAAGTTTGCGGTTGTTAAGAAGAAAAAGAGTCCTCAAAAAAAAAAAGAAGAAGAAGAAGAAAAAGAGTTAGGATTGTCTGTGTAAAGTTGGTGACTATTTTTGAAACTTGATGGGTAGTTTTTTTTTGTTTTTTGTTTTTTGTTTTTTGTTTTTTTGTTTTTTTTTTTTTTTTGTTTTGTTTTTGTGGGTGGGGTTAACATGGTTCTGGTTCACGGCTAGGGGTGTTTAATCGGTTAACCGAACCGTTTTATCGAATCGAATTAATCGAAGTTTTTTTTCCTTTAACCGTTAACCGAACCGAAGTTTGCTCTACCGAATTCACCGAACCGAAATTTTTTTCGGTTAACCGAACTTTTTAAAGCTAAAATTTAAAATTCTAAAAATAACACATAAAATAATAAATCCAATTAAAATAAAATACATATCATAATAAATTCATAACAAAATATACAAAAACATTAATTATAAACTCCAAACATCCATAACTACAAATTAGTATTTATATATATATATATATATATATATATATATATATATATATATATATATATATATATATATATATATAAAACTTCGGTTAACCGACCTTTCGAACCAAATTAACCGTTAATCGAAGTTTTAAAATTCTTTTAACCATTAACCGAACCGAAAAAAATAGGTTCGAAAACGGTTAACCGAATTTTGTCAGTTCAGTCGGTTAACCGAAAATTATCCGAAGTTTGCACACCCCTATTCACCGCAATGTGTCAGAGCAGGTTTTAAATTGTTCTTGGGTACTGTTGTTTTAAATTCGTATGGTTAATGTTGTTGAATATTTTGTTGTAATTTATATCTATATCTATATTATATATATAAAAAAAATAAAATCCTGAATTTTAACTTTCATCTTAAATTCTAAAAAATTTCTCTTTCTAATAAAATATATTGTTTTCTAGGTTAAAATGCCTATTCTAAGATTATAAAATAGTGTAATACAATTCCTATTCTAATCTATACTCTATACTATATATAAAAACAAAATCCTAAACTTTAACTTCCCGTCCAAATTTTAAAAATTCTCTCTTTCTAATAAAAACTAGTATTTTCACCCGTGCAATGCACGGAATGGAATTGTTGTAATATATTAAGAATATTTAAATCTATATATAATTATTTAAGAGTTGATTTCACCAGAGGTCGTTTATCTTTCCTGACAATTCCAAATTTAATTCTAGACTATAGTTATTAATTATTACAATTTATTCTATGTTACAACTCTTACGTTAATATTCTTACTATTATTATTAACACTTAATTACTTTTAGATTTATTATTACCACTTATATTATTATTATTATTATTATTATTATTATATTATTATTATTATATTATTATTATTATTATTATTATTATTATTATTATTATTATTATTATTATTATTATTATTATTATTATTATTATTATTATTATTATTATTATTATTAGTAGTAGTTTCTTTTCAAGTACTGTTAGTATATAATGGTCGTGAGGCACAA